CCCCAAAAACCCCAAAACCCCAAAACCCCAAAACCCCAAAACCCCTATTTATGCATGGTAACTTGAGTGAATTTTATATAAAAATTGTATAAACTTGTAAGTTTTAAGTGGTGATTTGGAGAGGACTGAGAAGCTTCAGAAATTATCAGAATTTTTTAAACCTATGTGCTTTCCTGATCAATCCTCATATTCCATTAATAGATGAACTCAAATTCTCAAATAGAAGAGATTAAAGACATCTCAAATCACAAAAAGCATTCAAACAGGCTTAACAAGGATGAAATGATTCCTCTAAATGGTAAATTATCCTCCATTATCCTTACAGAAATGGTTAAGAAATCTCGAGAGGAAATCGAGCAGGATGAAGAATCTGACCAAACAGAAGAAGTTGACCAAGACACTGTAGTTGTTGAACCCCTAGACCACCTTGACGATGATCTTCCTGCTATTGATCCAATTGTGATCGATGCTAAGCCTAGAGAAGAATCCAAGTACGAGGAGGACAAAGAATCTGGTTCAAACCCAAGAAGGTCTCGGAAAAGAAAGAAGCTGAATGACTTTATTAATGGGGAAGAGTTCGACTCCTCAGAAGAAGAGGTAGAATTGAGAGGCAATAGAAAACTCAACAGACAATTTCAAGGAGTTATGCTCGCTGAAAAGTATAAAGATGAATCCCAAATAGATGGTTGGATCATGAGCGAGAAACTTGACGGAGTCAGATGCATTTGGAATGGGAAAACCATGAAAACTAGGAACAATAATGCCTTCTATCCTCCAGATTGGTTCAAGAAAGACTTTCCTGATGAAATCTTAGATGGCGAACTCTGGATGGAAAGAGGGAAATTCCAAGAGACTGTTAGTATAGTCAGAAAGTCTTATGCCCATGATGGCTGGAAGGATATCAAATTTGTGGTCTTCGATGGACCAGAACTAGGTGGATCCTTCAAGACTCGGTTAAGAAAATTGGCAAAAATCTTCAAAGGAAATAAATCAGAATATATCGAATTTCATAAACAGGAAGTTTGTGAAGATAAAGAGCATTTAGATGCTGAAATGAAGAGAGTAGTTGATCTAGGAGGAGAAGGAATGATGATTAGAGATCCAAATTCTTTCTATGAATATAGAAGATCAGACAAAATTCTAAAAGTAAAACAATCCTATGATGCTGAAGCAGTTGTCCTCAAGAAAATAAAGGGTACAGGAAGATGCTATAACATGATGGGAGCTCTGTTTGTCAGAAACAACGAAGGCATTGAATTCAAAATCGGCAGCGGTTTCACAGATCAAGACAGAAGGAACCCTCCAAAAATAGGCAGTATCGTCACCTACAAATACTACGAGAAGACCAAAAGCGGGAAGCCTAGGTTTCCTATCTATCTAAGACCACATCCTGGCATGTAAGAATTTATCAAAATATAAAATACTCAATTAGAACTACTAAAGTTGGGGTTTTGGGGTTTTGGGGTTTTGGGGTTTTGGGGTTTTGGGGTTTTGGGGTTTTGGGG